CCAACAGACTTAAAGCATTACTTAAATCAACCAATGATAGATCGTAAAGAAAATCCAATGTGTTATTGGACAAACTTCGCCTCAATATACCCGACTCTCAGCGTTATTGCCAAAAAATACTTGGCAATTGTTGGAACGTCAGTGCCTTCTGAGAGATTATTCTCAAAGGCTGGAAATATATTAACAGAGTCCAGGAATCGACTTTCGCCCGATCATCTACAAGAATTATTATTTTTAAATTCATTATCCATTAAAGATTGGCAATTAAAAGACTCTTAATGTAAATATTATTTATACTTATATATTCTATATATACTAATGTAAATACTTCATTATTAAAATAAAATTTTTCAAAACTGTAAAGTCTAATATAATTACCTCATTTATTTCTTAAAGTTTTAAAACTTACGAAACTAAGTAAAATTTTTTTAGTTAATTTATGTTTTTAATTTGTTTTTAATTTATGTAATTTAATGTATGATTTAATTATATGAAAACAATTGTTTGCGATTTTTTAGATCGATTCTTGCAAAATCGATTCTTTAATTCCGATTTTCCAAGAGAATCGATTTTCATAAGTCGATTCAGAATCGATTCAAGAATCGATTCTTCTAAAAGAATCGAACATCTCTAGGCCCAACTACCCCCTTCTTTTCCGCCCTCCAGCGATTACGAACGATTGCGAGCTAATTCACATCGCGCCTGACACCCGGCGCGCGACATCCAATGGGACGTGTATTTCTCGGAAACATCAGCTGGTGATGTTTTTGTCCCTAGAAAATGAGCCTTTCTATTGGACACGCTAAGGGATGTGGGCGACTTTCATAAATGTGTTTTATCAGCGCGCACCTTTCGCAATGTGTGTAACGATTTATATGTTGAAAACACGGTTTTAAGTTCGATGAAATAGAGAAATAGACAAAACTAACTGGTTAACTGCACCAAACTTTATTTTTTATATCTTTTGCAATGATATCATTTTGTATGTTAAATAAATCAAACTATACTAAATAGCTACGGTTTTTTTATTAAAATGTTACGAACGACCTTGGTTACGATCAGATGACTGTTGAGAAAACACGATTTTTTAATAGTTTTCTAACGATTTAATATACTGTACACTGTACGAGATATCTTTTAGATGAGCTTGTTGCATCTTTTTTCTTATTTTTACACATTATGAACGTGTGCTTTATCTTGAATGAATGTGAGAAGACATGCAACAAATTACAACGCATAGCAGTGCGCAGTGATAAGATGCGATGTTTACGGTAATACGTGACGTGTGAAAAACGTCTTGTTCCAAAATATCTCAACGTTAAAATTAAGCTAAAATGTTTGCTGCAAAGATACACATTGCTGGCAATATGGATTTACCAGTAAATGAAGAAGATTTGCAACAAGTATTGGACAAATTATCTGAAGATGAGGTTTGAATTAACACATACTTTGTTATAATATGTAGCAAATTTCTTTTATTTTATATTTTATAATTGTATTTATTCAAGAGTAACTTTACACATGATAATTTGTGTTAATAGGTTGCAATAAAGAAAAATCTTGATACTATTCTTGCTCGTCAGTGTCATATAGAGGCAAAACTACAAAATGTTGGCAAAGTATTGCCAAATGTTATATTGATACACGCAGAAGGGGAAAAGTTTCGCGATATGATTGCACGGACTAATGAATTGGCAGAGAATGTCAGTGCTAAAGTACGACAACTGGATTTAGCAAGAGTAAGTTATTGTAATAAATTCGTGCAACTTTTTCACATTTGATTATCATGATGTTTTTTGAACAGAGCAGAGTATGTGAATGTCAAAGTAGAGTAAACGACATATTAGATCTGCAACTATGCAGTGAAGGTGTAGCAACAGCATTGCATAATGAGGATTATGAACAAGGTGCTGCTCATGTTCATCGTTATCTAGCAATGGATCAACAATTATTGGAAAGAACAGCCAAGGATGTATCAGGAGATCACACTAGTATCAGCAGTTCCCTGGTCACTCTACAACAAGCTGCAATGGAATTAAGAACTGTTGTTACACATAAGTTTGATGAAGCTGTGAAATCCGAAGACTTGGCATCTGTTGAAAGATTTTTCAAGATATTTCCATTACTGGGCATGCACTTCGAGGGATTAAAAAAGTTCTGCAGTTACTTGTGTACTAAAGTATGACATACAATTTGTAATTATACTTATTCCAAAAAATATCAGATAAAATATTTTAATAATATTTTTTACAAATATTTAATTTTTTATACTAGTTGCACGAAACTGCGCAAAAGAATCTGCAAGTAGCATTGGAGATTAAAAGTAATGATAAGAGAGCAGCTGTTATTTTTGCTGATACTATGACTCTCTTGTTTGAAGGAATTGCACGTATTGTAGAAGTGCATCAACCAATTATCGAGACTTACTATGGTCCTGGTAGGCTTTTAATGACGATTTCAATTTTACAAAAAGAATGTGACAGGTGAGATAAACTTGTGCGCAATATATCAGATTACAAGTTAAATCGAGAAACAATTAGAAAAAGTAATACTATAGTAACTTTTCGAAAATATAGGCAAGTAAAAAAGATTATTACAGTGTTTACAAAGCAGAGAAATATTACTAAAAATGTACAAGTGATAAACGATTATTTGCGAAAGCCAAGTTCTGAGAGACTCGATCCCAAAGAACTCGATCTTCTTTTGGGAGAAATTACAATAATGCATTCGAGGGCAGAACTTTATATACGTTTCTTAAGAAGAAGAATTAAGGTAAAACGACGATTACGTCAATTATGTTACGTATGTATTTGGTATTATAATAAAAACGCATGTAACATTTGTTTTACAGAATGATATAGAGATCAGTACAACAGACGAAGCGCAACGTACAGAATTGTTAAATGAATTTGAGACAACTATTAATAATTCTGAATTGGCTCACGGCATGCAAGAATTGCTTGGCGCTTATCTCGCATTGGAAAGATATTTTCTCGAAGAGAGTGTAAACAAAGCCTTGGGTATGGATGCTTTGGATCCAGAACAGCAAACATCCAGTATGGTTGACGATGTTTTCTTCATTGTACAGAAGTGCATACGGTATATATTAGAGAGAGATGTTATTGTTATACTCACATATTGTTAAGTTGTTATTGAATATGTAATATATACACTTATATATATATATATTTGAATGTAATTTCTGTAGACGCGCTATGTCAAGTTGGAGTATAGACGGCGTTTGTGCCGTTGTTAACATGGCCTGCGGCATTTTGGAAGGTGAATTCGCGAACAGATTGAGGAACAGATTGCGTCAGGGTTATCCGGCAGGTTACTTGGATCTGGCGCAAGCATATAGCGCTCTGCAGACGAGCATACAACATGGTCGTTTGCAAACATCCGACACGGAAAACGCTCGTCTTATGTTTTTAGTAAGATCAAATTTAAGAAACAATTAAATTAAAATAGATTTTATGAGAATAACTGTGTCAATATATTATTTGAAGGCATATTTGAATAACACGGACGTAAGCACCGAATATGTAGAAACGTTGTGCAAAAGTCTCGGCGCGGAAATAGATGCAACATTCCCCAACATGCAAAAGAAGGACAGAGGCAAAATCGATAGTTGCTTATCTGGTCTAAAGGGAGTCATACTAATTTTACGAGGTGTCATCGATTATGGATTGGAACAATTGCGGGTCAGTGCCGTGAAACCCAGAGTTACTCCGTGGGTTGATGCATTTCTGTCGATAAATCACCATCTTAACGAGGTATATCAAAGTAAATTGTACATACAATATGTACGATACATATATCGTACATATTGTATATATATCTTCAGATATAACGAATTTATGTATGTACAGGACGAATTGTTAAGATACGAAACGGATGAACCGTTTGTGCAAACGTTAGTCACGAATCTGGAAGGTTTACTTCAAGCATTCAAAGGTAGTCTAACTACCTCTAATTACGATGCTCTTATCGGACTTTTAACAGCGGAAGTTACGGCGCGCTTAGAAAAGGTGGTTTTAAAATCAACCTTCAATCGAGTACGTATGTTAAATATACAAACACACTATTCTCATAAGTTTTTAGAAATGTATCACAGAAGAAATTTGTACATTTTAGGCGGGCGGTCTAATATTAGATAAAGAAATAAGATCGTTAGCCAGTTACTTAGCGGCCGCTACATCGTGGTCGGTAAGAGACAAATTCGCACGTTTAACGCAAATTGCGACTATTCTAAGCATAGAAAAGGTAGAGGAACTTGCAGACTATTGCGGTGCGGATGCGATAGCGTGGCGATTGACACCATCGGAAGTTCGACGTATCGCTTCTCTGAGAACAGATCTTCGGCCGGAAGATATCAAAAGGCTAAAGTTATAATTTGTCGATAATAATGAAGCAATATGAATTTAAAATTAAGTGTTAATGTAAGAAAATAAAGTATACATATTAATTTGTTATGTATTTATTTCTTATGTGTTACACTTTATATTATTATTTCTTATTATAATATGCTATATATTGCTAATAAAATTAACAATTTTAACTTTTTGTTTTGTTTAAATAACTCGGTAAATGTTACACTTATTATCTCGATACCCAATAGAAAGTTTTCTTTTCTAGATCTTCTTAACCAAAGTATCTATCATCATGTACCTGATTCCGAGAGGTGCGGCGCTGCAAGCAACAGCTTGTGTTAGTGAGAGTGCAATAATTTAGAGGTTTTAAGAGGTTGGAGAGAGGTAAGAGGAGTAAGAGAGGTGGAAGTGGAAACACCGATCAGGAAGGGCCAGGAGGCGTGAGGAGTGAAGGTAGGGCGAAAAACGCAGGAAAATAAAAGGAAAAAACAGAAGTAAAGCGGACGAGATAGCAGGGAGGGAGAAAAGGGGGAGCGGGCAGAAAAGCCCGCCAACCGAAAACATGAATAAGAACAAAAACAGATTCGAGATACTCTATAGCGACAAGGAAGACATGACGGAGGAAAGACTTGATAAAATAGCAAGAAAGATTAGAGAAGAGGAAAAGGTAATAGAAAGAGGTAAAGAAGATTAGAGAAGAGGTAAAGGAAATAGAGATAGAAATAGATAGGAAGAGAAAAAGAGAGGTTAGTAGTAGGGAACAAATAACAGAGAATAGCAATCAAGTCAAAATAGCAAAACAAAACGAAGAGCAAGATAAGCAAGAAGGTACAGTTGATTTTGTCACACAGGAAGCAACTGAACAAATGGAAAGAACAAAGGAAAACACTGAAAAGAGAGGAAGGAAAGGAGTGAGATGGAGAAAGCAAGAGACAGATGGATTCGATACAAAGGAAAATTGTGCAGAGAACTAACAATAAAAGGTAAGGTAGGATAGGAGAAGAGAAACAGCAAGTAGGAATAGATAAGATAGAGAAAGGGAAAATACCATCGAATCTAAGAGGAGAGGTTAGAATAATGCTAGAATAATAGCACACATACCAAAAAAGAGTGATATAGCGGAAAAAGAAGGAAAAGTAGAAGGAGTAAGGAGAATACAAACAATTATATAGGGTAGTCAAGGCATTACATAAGGATAGAATACGACCTAATAAAGTAATACCGCGGTCAGCCCAACGAAAATAATGTTAACATTTTTATCTGCAGCGGCAGCACAAAAATGCCTCAACAGAAATCTAACAGGAGATGCTAGCAAGGAGACTGGAATAACGTACAAACTGGACACAACATCGGTGCAAACCAAGGGAGTAATATACGATTGGCCAGAAGATGAAACAATTGAAGATTTGGTAGCCATGATTGATAATACAGACAACATTATACAGATTGAGAGAATGGTTAAGACATACTAAGCAAAGGAACAGAATAAGAGAGTATGGAGAAGATGTAAGGCGGTAAGGATAACCTTTGAAGAAAGTATGGTACCAAAAACCATAAGACTATATGACGGACTCATGAACATAACAGTGAAACCATATGTGGAAGAAGTACTACAATGCTACAACTGTTACAAATATGGACATTTAAAAAAATAGTGTAAAAACCAGAGAAGGTGCATCAACTGTGGAAATGAATACCATGGAAGATGTGAAAAAGAAACACATTGCTCAAATTGCGGAAGGAAACACTTCCCGACAAGTAAAGAATGCACTGAGTATAAATACAATAAAGACATAAAAAAAAACAAAAATGGCACAAAACCAGATAGAAATACACGAGGCAAGAAGAATGGCAGCAGAAGAAGCAAAAATAAGAACAAGATATGACAAATCATATGCAGAAGCGACAAAGGGGAATAAACAAGTACAAGAAAAAGAAAGAGTAGAAGAAAGAATGAGACGAGAGGAACAAAGAAGGCAAAGGCTAGAGGAGAAAGAATGGATGGAAACAAATAGACAAAAAAATAGAGAGAGGGAAAACGGGTGGATAAATTATAAAAAGAAAGAAGAGAAAAAAGAGTGGGAGATAGAGAGAAGAGAAAAGAGAAAAACGAATTGGAATCAAGACAACAAGGAAGACAAAATGAACCAACTAGAGAGACGAAACAAAAGAGAAGTAGAATAAGATGGGAAAATATAACTGAGGAGGAAGAAGAACAAGAGGAGGAGGAGGGATCAAATAAAGAAAACGAGGATGAAGAAGAGAGAATAAGTGAGATAGAAGGACGACAACAAGTAAGAGAAATTGTCTCACAAATAGGAGAGACAATAGAACACTATATGACATACAGAGAGAGACAATCCATAACAAGAATAGTAGAACAGGCTCTAAGATCAACAAAAGAGCAAAAAAAAGACACAGAGCAGGCAGCAAGTTCACTCACAGCCTCAATAGAGGAAAAGGAATGAACACAGAAAGGAAGGAATATCCGCCGACACAAATACAAGGAGTAACACGAAATGAAAGAAGAACAGAAGGCGAAGAAGGAGAGAAGGAGAGACAAAAAAGAAGAAATAACGAGGAAAGGAAATTAAGCCCTGAATATTTTAAGGGCAAAATGCAAAACATCCGATTATAGATAAAAACTAAAAATGTCACAACAAAAACAGGAACAGCAAAACATAAATAAAACAAACAACAACAACAGCCAAACGACAGCACATAAAAATAGTAACCAAGGAGCAAATCAGAAAATTAAAATGATGTGTTGGAACGCAAGAGGAAAAGTAAATGGGATGAAGTCCAAAAATACGTTAAACAAGAATATGACATAGCAATAATAGTTGAAACGTGGTTAAAGAACACAGACAAAGTAAGTTTAAAAAATTTCCAAGTAATAAACGTTACAAGAGAAGGAAGAAAGGGAGGATGATTGATGGCCATTATACGAGAAGACAAAATATGAACGAAGAAAAGATCTAGAAACAATAGATAAGAGGATAGAGACAATAGGAATAACACTAGAACAAATTAAGGATAAAAAAAACCTAACGATAGTAGGAGTCTACAAAAAACCAAATATGGAACACAAAAGGAATATGGACTAAGTTACTAAGAAAACTACAACAAGAAGAGAAAGTGATAATAATGGGAGATTTTAACGCACATCACCCGTTATTTTATGGAACTGTGAAGTAGAGGATAGAGAAGGAGATACGCTACTGGAAGAAATGGAAAAAGAAAACATGGTAGTAATAAATATAGACACTAAAACGCGACTTGGTTTGGTTTGGTGCTGTTGTGGCTCAGTGGACCTGTTAAGCTAGTCCATACGCCATTCTGTGTCATATAGAATCTAGTTAGGAGCGGTGCTCCGATGTCTGAAACGATTTGTTGATGGTTAGGAGCGCATCTCCAATGTATGTTGAGAGGTGGGGGAAATCACGTTGGTAGAATATTACAGGGATGAAGAGGGGGTGAATGTCATGAGGTGGGGATACTATCTTATAAAATAAAGGAGTATATGAATTAAGGAGTTAAATGGATTAGATGGATAGCTTTTCGCGGGTGACAAATAGGAGCAGAGCATGCATAGCACCGATGTTATCAGAGAAGGCAATGTTGGCCACGTCATACGGGGGGGCTAAAACCGTTATGGAAGAGATCTAAAACTAAAAGGTCAGAAGAATCTTTATGTAAGGGGCAGTTAAAAAATATATGATTGACGTCACGTGTTGGGAAACCACAGTCACATGAAGCGCTCTCAGTTATGGATTTATCTGCAAGATGTGCATTGACGCAGGTATGAAACGTTCTGATGCGTGATATAAGAGACACCAAGGGTCTGGGTAGGGGTCGCCTGTACCTCTCATACCAGAGCCTGTCGAGTACGACTTGTGTGTGTGTGTTTCCGGGACAAATACCTTACTCTCTTATGTCTTGCTTCCTCCAGCAAATAGTTTTTTGCCTCCGTTAAGGAACGAGCTCTAAGTTCAGGGACAAGAGATCCTGCCGGACACTTTGCGGAGACCCCCGGGTCGGGTAGTTCAAGTGATTTTTTTGCGTACAGATCCGCTCTTTCATTACCCAGGATGTTCTTATGTGCCGGGATCCAGACAAACTGAACCTGCACACTTTGGGCAGCAAGCGCGCAAACTAGAGATTTTATCTTGTAGATTATAGTGGAGTGAGTGCCTCTGGGATCCGAGGATGCCAGGCAGTCAAGAACACTAAGTGAATCTGTAGCAATATATGAGAGATTGAACCTGAATTCACTGATGTACTCAAGGGCACAGAGGGCGGTCTGTGCCTCAGCATTGAATACAGTAGAATGGTTGTTTATTCTTTCATAATGAGCAAGCTCAGGGTGATCAGAATAGACTGCATACCCTACCGCTGCAACACGGTCGCACCGGGATGGGAGTTTAGAGCCATCTGTATAAAAGACGTGTTCGGCACCGACTTTGTTAAGAAACTTGGACCGCTCAAGGTGAGGTGAGGGGGCGGACCTGATCGTTAGTCCGATATCCAAGACAACGGGACATTTGTAATATCGTGTGAAGAACGGGAAGGACAGTAGACCAGGTAGCGCACTGGACTCAACCTGCTGTGCCAGGGGGGAGATTTCTTTGAACACATCAAATAAATCAAAGTTGTTATCCTCGCAAATCGGGCTCCACTGATGTATGAACCCACCGAGCATCGTATTCAACTGATGTCCCGAACGTGAAGCTACCCGAGTAGCATACTTGCTGGTCAGGTATCTTTGTCTACATGAAAGAGGTTGTTCATTAACTAAGTCGAGTAGGACGTTAGTGGGTGTTGTACGCATTAAACCAGCCGCTACGCGAATGCAAGCAAACTGAAGTCTGCTGAGTGTTAGACGATCTCTTTGTTGTAGAGATGACACAACCTGGCACCCCCAGTCGAGGACTGAGCGTACCAGTCCTCTATACGCCACTAAAAGAACTCTGGGGTGGGCACCCCACTTTATCCCCGCAATGGCTTTAAGTATGTTAATACGCGGAAGCACGCGTTTGCGGGTCTCGGTTATGTGCCTCCTCCACCGCAGGGAGTAGTCTATATACACACCTAAAAACTTGACACACCAAGCTATTTGTATGCCAAAGCCATTTAGAGAGATCTTAATGTTGTTTTTATTGATCATCTACTTGGTGTTTCTCAAAGAGTTGAGAGAATAGAAAGACGCGACGGACTTTTCCGGAGATAACTTTAGGCCTAGGTCTTTGAGATGAGAGTTGAGATTACCAAGGGAAATATTAAGTTGGTGTGCTACATACCTGATTGAAGGGTGAGAGCAATATATGACGATATCGTCGGCGTACATTAGGATTTTTACCGGGAGTGGTAAACACATTTTCACGAACGACAGATAAATATTGAAGAGTATTGGGCTGAGGACGGAGCCCTGGGGCACTCCTCTTGTTGTCCGTCGACTTTGAAGGGGAATACCAGAGATATAGCCGTCTAGGTTCCTGGTCGAAATTACCGATGAGATAAAACTAATTAATTTTTCGGGAAACCCTAACCGGGAAAGCATTGAAAGCAACACCGAAGAAATCACATTATCAAAGGCGCCTTCGATGTCCAGGAAAACCGCGCCTGTGACCTGGCGGTTATTATTAGCTGCTTTAATGTTTGATACAAAAATAGAAATATTATCGATACACGATAGACTCCGTCTAAAGCCAAATTGAAATGGAGGGATTATATTGTTATTCTCTATGCACCATTCCATTCTACATTGAATAATCTTTTCTAACAGCTTAAGTAGGTTATTGGCGAGAGAGATGGAGCGATAAGATCCTTTCTTTCCCGGTTTAGGGATAAAAACGACAAAATAATTTTTCCATTGTTCAGGAAACGTTTGTTTGTCCAGCATTATGTTAAATAGCTTGTGAACAATTAAATGAAGTTCATTAGGGAAATGTGATATGACATTATTGGAGATCATATCTGGACCAGGTGCGGATTTGATCTTTAAAGACTCGACCGCCGAGAGGTATTCCACGTCCCTAATGGGAGACTCGAGAACAGAACTGTCTACTGTACTCTCCAACCTAGGGATACTATAAGGTAAGTCTGAATGGAAATTTGTAATGGGTGGTTGGAGAGGAGCGATTTTATCGAATGATTTATGGAAACCTTCGATGTCAATGTTACTTTTATTGCTGTCCCCGCGTGAATAATTTCTGGAGTGCGAAAAGGCTTTAACTGTGTTCCATACAGAACCAATGTCCGAATGAACATGGAGTTCACCACAAAACGCCTTAAACGCGTCTTTTTTCTTTTTGCGGAGAAAGCGAGTAACCTCCTTTGAGATTTCAGTATACACAGATAGGTTCTGAAGGCAGGGATGCCTTTTGAAAGAAGTAAATGCTTCTCTTTTCCTTTTAACTTCCTGGGAGCATGACTCATCCCACCAGGGTGTCGGGGGCTTCCGAGAGGGATTAGCTGACGAGATGACCTTAGCGCCGGAGTTCTCGAGGGCAGCAACAATTGACTGGATAAGATGATCATACGTTTCTTCTACGCTTATAACGGAGACCGGCCTATCAACTTCAGGTGCAAGAGTTTGTGCAATATCCACACAAGCCCGACGGAAGAGATCCCAATCTACGTTCTTGACAGATATAAACAGGCGGCAAGGTATAGTGCCGTCAAACCTATCACATATTGCGATGTAAACAGGAAAGTGGTCACTACCGTAGTTAAAGTCGTCCACGTACCACCTGCAGTCAAGAGCTAAGCTCCGGGAGACAAGTGTGAGATCCAGGGTGGACTGTATCGAAAGATCAGACGATGTCCACGTACGTTCTCCGGTATTTAAGATATTCCAGCTTGAGTTAACAATTGCCTGTTCGAGTTTTTTCCCTTCATTGTTATAATGCGTGGGGGAGTTGCTCCACAACGGGCTTTTCCCATTGAAGTCACCGCAAATTATGGATGGCTCATACTTCGAGCAGATTTGGAGAAATGAAGTCCAGAAATTAACATCAGTGTAATTGCAAGACCACCGAGGAGGGTTATAAACAGAGAAAATATGTAAGAATTTGCTATTAGGCAGGTGTGCTTTGATTGCAATTATTTCAACTTGGTTGTTTTGGCAAATATCTATAATATCATTGTCACGTAATAATTGGAATTTAATGTGCTTTGCTACTACAATTGTTACTCCTCCACCTTGACGGTCTCGGTCGGTCGAAACGATTTCATGGTTTGGAAAGGTAACTAATGACCTATGGTCTAGATGTGTTTCGCAAAGGGCCGCAATTTGAACATTACCCTCTTGAATTAAATGCTTGAATATATCTAACCTGCGAGGCAAGGAACGGCAGTTCCATTGCATAATGTTCAAGCTTTTCGTAGGAGCCATCTTTTTCGTACGACAACCACACAAAGAGAACAGATAAGGGCAAGAGGGATTTAGGTTATAAAGACACAATCAGCGTAACTTTATGTATTACAGAATAACAGAATTGGTAATTGTTTCTACAGCTAGTTTTAAGACTGTTTCAAGCTCTGAGTCAGAAAGGTTGATAATTTGTTTACTCATGAGAGTATTGCGGAGGTGTGGTATTAGATTTTTTAATGGAAAAGAAGGTGTTTCTATACTTCTAGAAGAATCTCTGAAATTTGTATGAATTCCGGAGTGTGGTTTACTTTTGTTTTTTGTGTCTTTATTACCGGTAGGATTTGCGGCTGAGGAGCCACAAAATGTACCACAAGGGATACCTAAAGACAAGGAGTAAGCGGGCGTCGCAGACTCCGAGTGAGTCACCAGCCCCTTGCGCACAACCGACCGAGCAGCCGCGGTAGCTAGCACAGCATTGCTGGGAGGCAGTGCCCCACTGTCAGCCCCTCGACGGTCGGGCGGACGATCAAGATCCGGCCTACGCCCATCTCCCCCTGGCCCTGACGAAGCAGTAAACTTGAAAACCTCACCTGGAATGTACTCACCGAAAGTCGGCAAAGGAACTGACGGGGTCTTGTTCCAAGCGGTGACAGATTCACCTCCTCTATCGAAGAGCACGGACGCCTCTTTAAACGAAAGGTCCTTTGTCGCCATCAACTTGTGTATATCTCTTTGCCTTACATAAGCGTGACACTTTGAGTCAGAGGCTTGATGTTTGTAATCCTTGTGTTTAATTCTAATGCAATTAATGCATTCAAATACGTCACTTAAGCAGTCTGACTTGGAGTGTCCTGATTTTCCGCAGCGTTCGCAGAACTGTTTATCAGAAGANGTTTGTTTGCACGAGGAAGCTGTATGTCCTAGGCGCTGACAGAAACTGCAGCGCCGGACCTTATATACATATGGGTGTAGGAAAAACCTTTTACCCATATATATGCACGATGTGGGTACAATTTTGGTCCTGAAACGTAAGAGAAAGCTGTTAGTGTTGACCAGGACCGGTGGTGAGTCATCACCACTGTTTACCCTGCGTTGAAGTCTTACAGCCTCAAACGGTGGGATCCATGAGGACCCCCACCCCGGAGGCAGCCTAATGTTGGAAAGTACGTCCTCCACGGTGTCATCATCATCCACCCTCCTGAGAAGGCACTGTCTAACGACTTTGAAACTTGGAACGTAAGCAAGCCAGTAACCGGAGGGTGTAATATTTTCGCACACGGTAGGGAAGAGATCTATGAACTTATTTGCCTCCTTCCAGGAGGAGAATATCACCGAAAACTTATTTTTCCCAATTG